AAAGGTTACAAGCTGTTTTCGTGCAGTTCGAACTGGACGCGTGAAATCTTCGCCAATGCTGAAATTAGTGCCTTTTAGTTTTGGGCCGCTCGAAAGAATAGATTCTTTAAGTTTTGAAGGATGAAAGATTAACAATAATGGGTCATTTCCGGTTAGTGTTGTAACGCCCTAGACGATGTGAACGCTCTATATCTTTAGTCTCGACTGTAATGCCAAAGCTTTCGAGGCAGTGGTTAATGATTATTTGTTCCGATTGAGTGTATGTTTCCTTCGGGTTGGTGTCGGGAAACCCGTAAAATATTAAGTTGTTGCGTCGGGAACGGTTCTCAAGGTCGTCAAGGCGCTCTTCAATGTCACACATACGATGGGTTAGTTGACCGGTCTTAGAATTAAGGGCGTCGACTTCTGTTCGGAGAGCTAGAAGACTTTGGTGATGCTTTTCTAAGTCTGCGAGACGGGTGCTTAGATTAGTGATAGAGTTGTTTGTACTTGTTAGCTGGATTTCGAGGCTTTGCATCTCGGTTATTAAAGTGGCCTGGCCGGCAAACAACTTTCTCAGTTCTTCGAGGACGATTTTGTCAGGATCGGGGTTTGTCTCTACATCCCCCAACAGCAGTAGCAAGGCACGTATGACATCAATACATTCAGAAACAAGTAAAAGGCAGCACTGTGGGCTTGGCAACTGCACCAAAAAGTAATCACTTGATTTTTTAGTAAGTGCTTGATACGAGCTACTAACCTGCATGATCAGGATGAATGGATTAGCGGTCTGTGAATCGGCACAGCCGCGAAGCCCACAGTGCGCGGTGGACGGTGGTTGCTGCTTTATAGTCTGCGCATAAGATGTTGTCGACGGCGATAGGGCAGCTAGATTCCTTTCAATGATCTACAGCAAGATTGGGGGCGCAGCTGAAGGTCCTGCAGCATGGGTGACAGGCAGGAGGAAAACGCAAGGTTCACTTCCGTTGCCAGCAGGCCCGAAGTTTCCCGGAGTGGCAGACGAGGCTGTCAGAAAGGCAGACACGAGCAGGTTGGTGATGATGCGGGCAAAAACCTGCATGATCGGAATGAACGGATTAGCGGTCTGTGAATTGGCACAGCCGCGAAGCCCACGAAAGAGGAGATATTAAAAAACATGGAAAACAGAACCTACACCATAGGTCTTTTCATTGACTTGAAGAAGGCCTTTGACACAGTCAAACATGATATTCTGGTATCTAAGTTGCATGATTGTGGTGTAAGGGGCGTGGCAGCTAAACTAATAAAGAGATATCTTACCGAAAGAAAACAATATGTTAAGAGGGGTAACCTTGTTTCCCCAATGAAAACTGTAAAAAATGGTGTACCGCAGGGTTCAATCCTTGGACCGTTACTATTTATAACATATATTAATGTATGACATTCCAAGATCCCCAAAATTAATTATTTACGCTGACGACACCAACATATTTTTTACAGCTAGAATACTCATGCACCTTGAAACTGAAGTAAATGATTACTTACTCAAATTAGAAAAACGGCTTCATCAAAATAAGCTCATGCTTAATATATCTAAAAGTAAGTACATAGTATTCCAGCCTATCAACAAGCCCGACGAGGACGACATTAACATCTTTTTCAAAAAGCAATGGCAGGGGCAGGTTGAATTACAAAAATTCCTTGGGGTGTGGTTCCTAGAAAATTTGTCTTGGAATACCCATGTTGATAGTCTCGCATCCAAACTAAGTAAGACTGTTGGGTATATTTTTAAAATAAATCCACTCATACCAATTTGGCTAAAAAAAAAAAAAAAGATATACTACACTCTTCTTTATTCGCGTTTGAATTATAGTATGCTAGTATGGGGTACTAAAAGTAAGAAGAATTTAAATAAACTAGAAATCTTACAGAAAAAAGTTCTCCGCCTATTCGATGATTATTATGGCAACCCAAGGGAGATGCCTAGCAGTCTATTATTTATAAAACATAGTATACTCAAAGCAAGACAGGTGTATGAATATAAGCTATTACTTTACATTTATAAAAACAAACTCCACACTATTACGGCTGAGGAAGGTGCACTCGAATACTCGCTCTGTAGGCAACAAACTCGCGTTCCTGCTACTAGGACTGGATATGGTAGAGCCGTAATTGCATACCGCGCCCCACAGCTTATAAATCATTTAGGTGAACAATTAAATTTTAACCTCTCATTAACGCAATTCAAATATCACATAAAATATCTCCTCATTAATTGAGTAAGGTAAACATCATGTTTCCAATAAACTTCTGGCTAGGTTCCACATATACTCTCACCTTTAGGTACAAAACGCGTGTATATACAGTAGTATGTACGTACGTATGGGCAGATGTATGTATGAATATATGAGTGTATTATATGAATATATCAGTATGTATGTTCTTTTTGGATATGTAATGAAAAGAGCCTCGATGTCTGATTGTGTTTGTCTATGCAGCCTGTTTTTTGTATTTATATGTCACCTATTTTTGCTCTTATGCTATTTCTGTGTTCTGTTATTTTGCTGCTTCTTGTATTGTGATAATTATTGTTCAATGTAGCACTGTTTGCTGAACTTTTATCATTTCGCGTAGCGAAGCCACGTCAGGCGGAATGGCCTTTAGCTTCGCTTCGTTTTTCTGTATCTCTCCAGAAATAAAATTTGTTCATTTTTATTTTCATTTTCAATACATATCTGGCCAAATAGGAAGGGGTAGACACGGTATGCAGTGTATGCAGAGAGGAGGAGGAAACTGCCGAACACTTGATAATGCTCTGTAAAAGGCTTCACCCTATAGTTCAGGATGATGGTGCAGAGTTTTTCAAAGCACTGGGGTTTAGAGACAGGAAGGCAAAATTGACTTTAAGTGGGTAGAATTAACTAGAAGGAGGTTATCTGATTGGTGGCTAAAGTCAAGGCACGAGTGAAAATTAAACCATTCACTGCAAAGTACCAGTCCTATACTTCACTATTTAAAGGAAAAAAAAAAGTCTATTTGGGGGTTCACTAAGTATTACTGCTAGGTGGCGTTAGCCGCCGCCCGATCTAAAGGGTACAGCCACGTCAATTGATCCATCCATGTGTTGTAGCTTCGCCCAGCCTTCTCTGCAGTCTCTGTCTCGGGGGTGCGTCATACACCTCGGTTGATGGTGCTGGGAGTAGCTTCCGACTGTCGGGATTCTTTGTGCTGGTGTTAGGCCTCGGTTAATGTTTGTTACGGTAGCGTCGGTAGTAGCTTCCCGTCTGTTGCGATTCTGCTGCTCTGACTTGATGCCGTGTGCCCGCGGCAAATACCGTGCCAAAACACTTCAGGAGAAAGCTAATATCCTGCGGGAAGTGGACGCCCGGCTCTTGCCTAAGCAAGATATCCCGAAAAAGCATGGGATACCGAAAACGACGCTATCTACGTATATAAAAAATGGGAGGCACTATTGAAGACGCCTTAGAGGCAGAAGTTGCGAGCAAAAGGAGGCTGTTACGGCCCGCAAAGTATCCTGACCTCGAGAAAGCGCGTCTCATTTGGATAAAAGAAATGCGTTCGCAGGACATACCACTGAGTGGCCCAGTCATACTGGCAAAAGCAGCGGACTTCGCCCTGCAGCTAGACTACGACGACTTCGCTGCTTCAGATGGGTGGTTGCACCGTTTTCGCGAGCGCTACGACCTCATTTTCCGTGCTGTGTCGGGTGAAATGAACGCCGTCAACATCGAAACGTGTGAAGGTTGGCGCTCCCAAGTGCTTGAAGGCTACATGAAGAAGTATTCTCTGCAGGACATATTTAATGCGATTGAAACTGCCTTATTTTTCAAATTGCTGCCCATCAAAACTATCACGTATAATGGCGACAAGTGCACGGGAGAGAAGAAAACTAAGGAACGGATAACTGTGATGGTTGCTGCGAACATGACCGGGACCAAAAAGTTGCCTCTGTTTGTGATAGGCAAATCGAGAAGTCCTCGTTGCTTCAAGAACATCCAGTCCTTCCCATCAGACTACGCTGCCAACAAAAAGGCCTGGATGACGGAGGACTTGTTCGCACAGTGGCTGGGGAAGCTTGACAAGAAGTTCGAACGCTGTGGCTACAAAGTCTTGCTTCTTGAGGACAACTGTTCGGCTCATAAAGTCAACGTTGAGACGAACCCCATTGAGCTGGCCTTCCTTCCGGCAAACACTACAGCGGTACTGCAGCCCATGGACCAGGGTACAATGAGAAATTTAAAATCATTTTATCGGCGTCATATGTTGGAACCAATTATTTTGTGTAATAACTACCAAGTGACGCTCCTAAGTGCACTACACATACTTGTGCGTGCTTGGGAGCAAGTGACAGCGCTTACGATAGCAAATTGCTTTCGCCACTGTGGCTTCAGCACCGAAGCTCTGCAAGCTGAGGAGCCACCAGTGCTCGAACACGGCGTCACCGCCCCCATGGCGGACGCTTTGGAAGACGTCTGCTTTGCGGATTACGTCGATGTAGACTCAGGTGCAGTGGTGTGTGATGCACTCACGGATGGCGACATAATATGTCAGGTGAGAAGTGCAGAACCTGTCGCTGCCAGTGAGGATGATGAGAAGGAGGACAAAGCACCAGTGCGGCCCTCTGCTGCGAAAGTCATGGCCGGATTGAATGCCGCCCATCTTTTCTTAAGTTTTGAAGAAGGCGCAGAAGAGGCCTTCCACCAAATTCCCTCGTTGGAGCAAAAAGTGCTGGCTATCGCCTTCAAGAAAAGAATGCAGACCGTGATCACAGATTTTTTTAAAAAAATAAATTATTATGCTCTACTCGCAGTGTACTATTGTTGTTTTTCACTTTCGTTAGTACGAACTTTCGTTAATTCGAACTGAGGCAGCTTCCTCTTGCGGTTTGAATTAACGAGCTTTTACCTATATTTGGTGACTCGTAAGTGGCCTCATACAGGCTAGCCGTGTGACAACGATTGTGAGAATAAGCATTCGGTGTGTGCATAAAAGACCTTTCTGAAAGAGGCCCTCCTGTGCAGGACAGCAAAAGCCGCAGCAAGAGCAGCCATGACCTGACCGACGATGCCAGCTTGAGCTCGGTGCCTGCAGTGAGCGAGTTCAAACACCCGGCTGGACCTGACGATGCAGCTGACCACGTAGCGGAGAAGAAGCGCACACGCCAGGCAGCCCCGGCTGCATCATCATCATCATCACCACAACCATCATCATCATCAGTGTCATCAGGCGAGAGGAACTACTTTGAGGAAGAGCGCCAAAAGGCCTCTGCACAGCGCATGTGAGCATCATTTCACTTTCGCTCAGTATGTGACACCCTCTGCAGATTTGCCGTGGCTTGCAGACTCTCAAGCTTGCCTTGGGGAGCAGCTCTTCTGTACTGCCTTTGCCCCTTTTGTGCTGCTTTGCTTTTGTACATTCCCTCATTAAAACATATTGAGATTGATCGAAGAAGAGGAAGAGGAGCTCCCATTAACCCAGAAAGCATGGCCGCTACATCAATTTTGTTGTCCTTGGTAATTGAAAGCCATCGCTGTTGATGTGGCATTGTAATAATGCATAATGAAGTAACATGAAAACTTTGGCAAGCTGGTGACACATGGCGAGCCACGATGTTACTTCCGAACAAGGCTCTGTTTATCAGCTGCATGTTTGATAGAAGATGAACTAGGTGCTCACAAGCAGCACCTTGGGCATCTTTCTTCTTATGGTCATCATCTCAGCAGTTCTGCTGCGTATCAACATCTATAAAGAAGCATCCATGTGCTGTTATGCAGCTGCATCTACTGCTTCAGGCTCTACACTATAAATGCTGTATTCACACAGTGGTAAAAGGATACTGACACAAAATGCAACAGATACATGTTTTAATTGCAATAAACGTTATGACTTGGAGTTTTCTTCTCTCTCGCAGTGGTGAAATCCGCAAAGAATTCAAAGAGTTGAGGCGTCAAATGCGAGCCGAGGAACAAGCCAAGCTGCAGTCAGACAAGCAACCATCAGGTACCGTGACCTTTCCACAAAGTTATGCGTGAGGAGCAACATTAAAATCTTTGAGAAGCAATTAAAAAAGTGCAAAGCTTAATATGCAGTAAATTCGCTGCAATAGAAGATTGGCTGCTTCGATAATGTCAATAATGGTCGACAACGAGTGGGACATAGCAAGCAATTCTTTTTATCGCCATGGCCTTGCATCTGAAAACTTGGCAGGAAATACACATAGACATATATTCTTTCATACCTAATAAATATCTTAATTTTTTCATTTAAAGGCTTTTAAAACTGCTTCTCTTCAAAGTGGTGATACAATTATTATTCTATTTATCATGCACTGTGGTCACAGCAGACAATGCAGGTGGGAAACTATGCAGTTGCAAAAATACATGTGCAAATGGAGCCGCAAGGCACACAAGCTCACACAAAAAAAAGAAGAACAATTGAGCGAATTTATCACCATATTGTCACGGGGTCGTGACGTGGCTGAAGACAGGATACTTTTTGTTGAGACTTAACAGTTTATTTGGGCGAACCTGTGCCCGGCAAACGGAAAGTCCGATTACAGTAGCAGTCTTGCACAGATAGCAGTGAACGGAGCGTCGGCCGTCGATCAACTACTGACAAGCGGCGAAGCGCGTCGGCATTTATACTCTTGCCGTCGAATGTTCTAGCGTTATCGCTGGCGGTGGCGTAGGTTCCAGAATAATCTGTACAGTACGCAGAGTAGGCGGGATCTTATCGAAATGATCTACTACAGTCCGGAAGCTTCTCGAAAACTGCAGGCGCGGTTTGCGCTGAGAATTGTGTAGTATTTTGAGATGATAACAAAACTTGGGAAATGGAACATGGCATTGCCCCCTTCTGAAAAAGGCATCGTCCCGATGCTTTAACTAAAGATGAAGGTACAACAATAATGCAAGAAAGTACAATGAATAAGTTACGATACAATAATAATACAAAAAAAACACTGTTTCAGTTTGTCAACGCGCATGCAACGGCTTGAGGCGCGCGACATCGATGACTTCAGGTCGCGATCGGCGTCGTTGAGAGTTCGTGACGCTGTCGGGGACAACCTCGTAATCACGGGGGCCGAGACGTCGAACCACCCTGTACGATCCGAAGTACCGTCGCAGAAGCTTTTCACTTAGTCCACGTCGGCGTATCGGTGTCCACACCCAAACACGTTCACCGGGCTGGTATTCCACGAAGCGTCGTCGAAGATTGTAACGGCGGCTGTCGGTCGTCTGTTGATTCTTGATACGGAGACGCGCGAGTTGTCGGGCTTCTTCGGCGCGTTGAAGGTACTCACTCACATCGAGGTTTTCTTCATCGGTGACGTTGGGTAACATGGCATCGAGCGTCGTTGCCGGGCTCCTTTTATAGACCGATTTGTATGGAGGTATCTGCGTCGTCTGCTGCGCTGCTGTGTTGTATGCGAAGATCACGTACGGAAGAATGGCGTCCCACGTCTTGTGTTTGACATCCACGTAAATTGTCAGCATGTCGGCGATGGTCTTGTTTAGCCTCTCGGTGAGGCCGTTGGTCTGTGGGTGGTACGCTGTCGTCTGGCGGTGGTTTGTCTGGCTGTATGCCAAGATCGCTTGAGTTAAGTCGGCAGTAAATGCAGTTCCTCTGTCGGTGATAAGGACCTCCGGGGCGCCGTGACGTAGTACGATATTTTCGACGAAGAACTTAGCTACCTCGGATGCACTGCCTTTTGGCAGGGCTTTTGTCTCGGCGTAGCGGGTGAGGTAGTCGGTAGCTACCACGATCCACTTGTTTCCGAAAGACGACGTCGGGAACGGCCCCAGTAGGTCCATACCAATCTGCTGGGAAGGTCAGCAAGGTGGTTCAATTGGCTGCAGAAGTCCCGCTGGCCTTGTCAACAGTGTCTTGCGTCGCTGACAGTCTCGACATGTCCTCACATAACGAGTGACGTCGCTGGTAAGAGGTGGCCAGTAGTACCTTTCTTGTATCCTTGCGAGCGTGCGAGAAGCACCGAGGCACCCTGCCGTCGGATCGTCGTGCAGGGCCTGCAGGAGTTCTGGTCGCAGAGCTGAAGGCACCACAAGGAGGTACTTGGCTCGGAGCGGTGAAAAGTTTTTCTTTTGGAGAAAACCGTTTCGCAGGAAGAACGACGCAAGTGCGTGCTTGAATACCTTCGGCGGTTCGGGGTTCGAGGTATTCTATTAGGGCCTTAAGTTCCGGGTCGGCCCGCTGTCGTTCAGCGAAGTCGTCGGTAGTTATCGTTCCCAAGAAGTAGTCGTCATCCGGGTCGTCGGGTGGTGGTTGGTCGACAGGCGCACGAGAGAGACAGTCCGCGTCGGAGTGTTTCTTGCCGGACTTGTAAATGACAGTAATGTCATATTCTTGAAGCCTCAGGCTCCATCGTGCGAGGCGACCTGAAGGGTCTTTCAAGGTGGCTAGCCAACACAAGGCGAAGTGGTCGTTCACAACTTTGAAGGGCCGGCCGTAGAGGTAGGGGCGAAATTTCGACGTAGCCCAGAGAGAGAGAGAGAGATTGACTTTATTTAAAACATATCCTGAGGAGGCTGAGAAAGGGCCATTCCGACCCTTAAATCAACCTGGAGGCTCCGCCCAGGATGGCGCTGGCAGCCGAAGGCTTGTAGCGATGTCCCGGGCCCTCTGGACCGCCTGTAGTTGCTGCTTGTATTCATTGCTCTTGAGGGCTTCCTGCCAAGCCTCTTGGGTATTCAGTTGTGCTGCGCTGTGGGTAGGGCACAGCCAGAGCATATGTTCGAAATTGCAATAGGGATGGTTGCAAAGCGAGCATGTGGATGGTGTGTCGGGGTCGACTCTGTGTAAGGTGTATGGTGTTATGTACGTACGTGATTGCAATCTTCTTAGAGTTAGAGCTTGTGCTTTGTTAAGTTTTGGGTGCAGTGCTGGGAATGCACGTTAATGTGAAGTGATCTCGTGGTATGTGAGTGCTTTGTCCTGGTTGTAGAGAATTTCGTACCGCTCACCCATCGGGGAGTCGTTGTCTGCGGCGCGGCGTGTGAGCTCACGCGCCAGGCGGTTGACCTCTTCGTTGGGATTGCAGTGGTCGAGTCCTGGTAACTGTCCCATGTGGGCTGGGAACCAGGATACGTAGATTTGAGCGTTCTCTTCTTTAACAAGGGTTTTTTCGCTCTCGTACTCTCTTATTGCGTTAACGGTAAGTTTTCCCGTGCTTCTAGCTACTAGGCCAGCCGCGAACGTTCGTGCCGCCGTCTTAGAGTCTGTGTATATTGTGGAGTAGGCTTGGCAGCTTTGCAAGGCTAGCGTGATCGCCATTTCCCCTGCTTCGTGGACATGGCTTGTTTGGACGGTTGCCGCGTTTATGAGGTTTCCGTCTATATCAACGACCGCTATGGCAAACGCCTCCCTGCCATAGTAGCGGGCGGCATCTACGAATAGCGTGTGCGTTCAACACTGTCAAAATTTGGGCTTGTTGGTGCATTTGGGCATTGTTGGTGCATTTGGGCTTGTTGGTGCATTGTGCGTGCTGTTGTGTTTTTTTTTTGCCTTGTTTATGAGCGCCCTCGCTCTGTCTTTCCTTTGCCCTTTGTTGAACGTTGGGTGAACGTTGCCGGGGATTGGCTCAACCCTAATGTGTTTCCTCACGTCATTACCAAGTTGTGTTTTTTTCTCTGGTTGAAAAATTGGGCAAATGCCTGCGTCTCGTAGGATGAGATGGCCTGCCTGCGTCAACGACAGGCGTGTGATCTGTGCCACTCTCTGAGCCTCGAAAAATTCTTCGGCTGTGTTGTGCAGACCAAGTTGCTCGAGTTTCTCGTTGCTCGTGCTATTGGGCAAGCCGAGTGCCGTTTTCAGTCCCTTGCGGAGCATGGAGTCGACCTTTTTGATTTCAGCCTTCGTAAGTTTCAGAAACGGGAACGCGTATGCTACGTGACTTACAAGAAAGGCGTGATACGCCTTCATGATGTTGTCTTCTAGGAGGCCTGCTCTCTTGTGGGCTATTCTAGCAATGCCTCTTGAAAAATTGTTCGTGCTTTTTTCAAGGCGCTTGAGTGCTTCTTTGTTGTGGCCCTCCTTGGCGCTTAACGTTAGCCCTAGTACTTTGACCGTATATACTTGCGGTATCGTTTGGTTATTCTGAGCTTTGAGCACTACTTGCGGCTCGTCTTCGCCCGAATTCCGTCGAGGGTGCAAGAGCGTTAGAGTAGATTTAGTGGGGGACAGTGCGAGTCCAGTTGGCTTAAGAAATTCTTCAGTTGTAGTCAGTGCTTGTTGAAGGATTCCTTCCAAGGCACCATATGAGTGGGCACATGGGACCCATATGGTAATATCATCCGCGTATATGGCGTGGGGCACGGATGGGATTTGAGCGAGCTTCTCCGACAACCTGTGCATCGCCACATTAAAGATCAATGGCGAGAGCACTGACCCTTGTGGGGTGCCGATATTTCCGAGTCGTTCGGGTTTGCCGCATTGCTCTCCTATGCGTATGGTGGCGGTTCGATTCGCCAGAAAGCCTTTAATGTAGTTGTATAATTTCTCGCCTAGGTTTATGTGCGATATTTCACCCAGTATTTGTTCATGTTTTACGGTGTCAAAGGCCTTGGCGAGGTCCAGGGCTAATATGGCTTTGGGCGTGTGGAGAAGGCCGTAACATATGTATTCTCTTAACATCAACATGACGTCCTGTGTGGACAGTGCCCTGCGGAAGCCAATAATGTTGTGTCGAAAGAGCCCATTGCTCTCAATGTGGTCCGTGATATGGTTGAGTATTGCATGCTCAGCTATTTTTCCAACGCAAGATGTGAGTGATATGAGCCTTAAGTTATTGATGCTCAGCGGTTTTCCAGGTTTCGGGATGAGCGAAACCTTGGCACTATGCCATTCTTTAGGCACGGTACCCGTTTACTATGCCTCATTTATCTTCTTAGTAATGATTACAATTGCTTTATCGTCTAGACTCCGTAGCAGTTTATTGTCGATTTCATCTGGCCTTGGCGCCGATGTGCCATTGAGTTGTTGTA